GGCATTTGGGAGGGGGGGGGGGGGTATAACTTCGTGTAAGTTTGTAAGTGTAACAAGGTTCCACTGGTAGCCTTGGTAGTTTTTCCAGCAAAGTCTACTATCTAGCTACATGCACATGACCTACCCATTCCAAATGTCTAATGATTTTCTTAATGAAACGAGTGTCCTCCAATGAAAGTTAAAGAGTGCATTAGAAAAATGATACATAATTATCTCCATCCATTAGTATCACATCGGATGATTATCCCAAAAAGATATATTGTATAATAAGTATGTGTTAGCCCTAATTTCATTTGACATTATGCATGGATAACAGTAACAATGTCCAGTTGTCTTTATATATACTAGTATGGTATAGAAGTGTTGCCATAGAGAAACGAACACCTCTACAAAGACATTGCTCAAAGGGGCTTTGTACAAGTGCACATATTGAGCACCTTCTTCGACCATGTCAAGGCAAACACAACTCAAATCCCCTATCTGCCTAGTTCACTATGCATCATTGTGATACTGTGGGGTATTGTCGTATGAAAATATGACGAATCTCTTCCATGGTTTAGTTGTCACCATCGACGGATTGTGATAAATAGAGTGCCTCACCATAGTTTGGATAATAAGGAGTGGGCATAGCAAACTGACCGCATTCACCCGCACCAATTGTATCATCATTCGATGTCAACTGTGATAGGCTTCAACTCTAGCTATTTGTCCTCCAGCTACTAGGATCTTATTGTCATCCCTCTCTATTCTTGTTGTCTCGTCCTTTTCGTCCATTCCTACATCTTGTCTGAAATGACTCTTCCATCTCTTTCTCCATCGAGACATGCATTTCTATGATCCTAAACCAACTTACCATTCTAATAATTCTAACTAAATATAAGATAATACCATAATCACAACATAGAGCTTCATCGTTCTCACCCTTCCTTCCTCTCCACAAACCATTCGGCGCCATTTATGTCATCAATTGGCCACCACCTCTGGCACCACCAACTTGACCTTCTTATCCAACTAACACAAGTCATGTATCCCATTCCCCCGAACAATGGAGGTCGCCTCTCTTTAAAACGAAACAAAAAACTATGAAGCCCCCCGTCACTCTTCACCTTTTTTCCACACCAACAATGATAAAAGGTGGACTTCCCATTCTCACCTTAGAATTGTGACATATCTTGCGAAAGTGCCTTTCTGCTCCCGAGCTCATTTGAGCTCGGTGAACAGTAAAATCAAAAAAAAATTCAAAAAATTCCAATTTTTTTTGGGAGAAACATTGACAAAAGTTCTAAGTGCTTGCAAAAATTCATCATGAAATCACATTCCTGTAAAGCGTGGAAAAAAACAAATTCAGTGCTCCAAAATGCTTTTGAAAGTAGCTTTTTCAGAGTACTGATTTTGTTTTTTTTTGCCATGCCTTCTAGAAATGTGATTTCATGGCGAATTTTTGCAAGCACTTAGAACTTTTGTCAATGTTTCTCCCAAAAAAATTGGATTTTAAAAAAAAAATGATTTAGTTTTGATTTTACTGTTCACCCGAGCTCATTTGAGCTCGGGTGCAGAAACTCCGCGTCCCATATCTTGCAGTTTCTAGGAATAATTTCACTATAATACACATCTGAAGAAACTAGGGACTTGTTTGGATTGATGAATGCCTCCTTTGAATCCCTTTCTTCCTCTATTTTAGTTTATCACTAAGTATTGAACTTTGAATTTAATTTCACACTCAAGATGAAAAAGAACCCTATGTGTAGTATCGGGACGCCACATGGATCGGTAGGGGAAGGGTAGGTTACTTTGAGAGTGTGAGATAAAACCGATTCAATCAGTTGTGAGGTCATTGGGGGAGTGTTCGACGCATATACCCTTAGTGGGGAGAATTTTAGACGATGGAACATCAATACAATAATTACCACGTGGGCTCATTTAATAGTAAGCTTTTTTGTTGTTCAACCCACTCATCTTAACATAGTGACAAATAAATTAGTTTAACACAAAGATGTTGTCTAAGATGGAAAATAAAAAGAGATGTCGAAACGAGTAGTACAAGTGTTTTCTGTCATGGACCATGAGATATGTCCAAGAAAGAAAATTTATTAATATAAGGGTACAAAACATATATTCTAATCTAATTTCATGTATTGCTCTATATTCAATCTTGTATGCACACTTCATAACATGGGGCCACAAATAAAAAATATTAATTTTCAAATTTTAATAAATTTTAGTAGTTAAATATCTCCAAAATAATTTAATCTTTTATTGTGAAAAAAATTCACAACTTTGAAACACATTGAGATAGTTTAATTTGATTTGTATATGGTTAAAAACAGACATTCGGGTGAGATCTTTGTGAAATGTTTCGGAAATTCAATAAATTTTGTGTGTTTATTTATGAGTTTTTTCATAATTCTTTTGCGAACAATATAGTCTCCCTATAATAATTTAAACAAATCGATTAGAATGTGGAAACCTCAGCATAATTGTTTAAAAGGTCATGTTTTTTATTTCAAAGTAAATCATATTATTTTAGAGAATTCACTTAATTAAACAAATTAATTTTGTGAATATTCACACCAATTTAGATTATTTGGACATATATTAGTCAATTTTCAAAAGATTCCACAGACAATGCACACTTTTTTCAAACCATGCATGATAGCTGCATGTAATCATTTCATTTTCCCTTCTTATTTCAGTTAATTTTTAATATATTTCATATTGTTACCAGTTTTCGAATTTTGAAACTTGCATTTAGGATATATTTTTTTCCAAATATTGATTTTTTTAGGTCTTCCATATTTAGATTTTGTAAAAAGATTATTTTAAAATAACATGATATATTATTCTTGGTACTTGCCTGTATTTTTGAAAGTAACTGGTATATGCATTTCATTGAAAGCAGAGGCATCGACAAAACAACAACAATGGATTACGCTCTCCTAGATAGGTAGGGTGCACGTTTGAATAATCATGTTCTACGACTAGTCGTATAATTTTTTTGCATGTTGCAAAGATGACAGTAAATATTGGAAAGCTTGTCATTCAAATTATGTAGTGAGCAATCTAAAAGCAAAAAGAAAGAATTATAAGTTCACAACAGTAAATTTCATTTCAGCACCCAACAAACCGGCCAGCCGATCGAGAGGTCTATTCTAACTAGACCATGTTTACAAGCTAAAGGTACGTATCGTTGTGACGCAGTTTACGTCTTGGCGAGTCATCATCGCTAGCTGGCTCTAATAGCTTTGCTTAGGCTCATCGCTGTCTATGAGCCCGAGCGCCGCCTCGAGGTTGGTCACCACGTTTGACATGGCGGGGCGGTCCTGTGGCTGTGGCCACAGACAGCGTGCTGCCGTGTAGGCCACGAGCTTCAGCGCCTCCATCTGCCCCGGGGTCGGCGCCGGCGACGGGCGCCGGTCCAGCACAGACCCCAGGTCCCCCCTCTCGATGATCGGGGCAGCAAAGCCAGCCAAGTTGTTCGGGTCCTTACTCTCCCAGCTAGGCGGCCTACCGGTCAGCAACTCCAGCATGACGACGCCGAAGCTGTACACGTCGCTCGCCGGACTCACACGCCGCGTGCGGTGGTACTCCGGGTCGATGTACCCCAACGTACCGGCAACCTCCCCGACGAGCTGGCCGTCGGCCGTCGGCTCTTGCAAAACCGCCGCGCCGAAGCCGGACACGCGGGCCGCCCAGCTCTCGTCCAGAAGGATGCTGGACGAGCTGACGTTGCGGTGGATGATCCGCGGAGTGGCCACGCGGTGCAGGTGGTCGATGGCCCTGGACGCGCCCAGCAGCGCCATGACACGCGCCTTCCAGGACGACGTCACCGGCGACGCAAAGCCGCCGCCCTGCAGGTGGTCCCTGAGCGTGCCGTTGCTCGTGTGCTGGTACTGGTAGACGAACATGCGATCGTCGTCCTCCGCGCACCAGCCCACGAGGCGCACGACGTGGTCGTGACGGAGGTGGCAGAGGGTCTCGAGCTCCGCCACGAACGCACCCTCTTGTTCGTGGCGTTGCTGCCCGTGATTCTTCAGGCTCTTCACCGCCACCTCCAGGCCGTGGTGAAGACGACCCTTGTACACCGTTGCGGAGCCGTCCTCGCTGAGCACATGGCCGAAGTTTCCGGTCAAGACCGCGATCTCCGCCGACGCGAACTCCACAGCTGCATACTGGACCATCGCAGGCTCCTATGGAAGACGATGGGTTAATTAAGCTGCAAAACCAACAAGATGAAAATGGTTCTTCTCACTGTGGTGGATATGTACGTACCTGCAGCTGCGCAGAAGCAGATCCAACAACCATTGTTGGCGCTACTGGTAGAAGAACGCTGGTGGGATTCGGAGGACAGACCTGGTCGAGGCGGCGGGTAATGGAGATATGGCTGAGCAAGGGGATGAGGATGAGGTGGGAGTCGATCCTGCGGTTGACTTCCCTGAACCTCTCGGCCTGGTCGTCGGCGTACAAGAACTTCCGGCGCGCGCTCCACCTCTGGCAAGCGACGACGAGATCGTGCGCCTCCTGGAGCGTGTGGCCCAGCCCGGCCAGCGGCTGCGCCACCGCCGGGTCCTGCAGCTGCAGCAGCAGGTCGCCGATCACGGATACGCGGCTCGCGAGATTCTTGCACTCCAGCTTGTTCTGCCGGGCAGTCTCCGCCGCCCCGGTGATCTTCGTGACCAGCCCGTGGACGTACAAAGCCAGCTGGGCCACCGTCGCCAAACCCGCCAGACTCGCCGTCGTGGCCGCCATGGCAGATGGCACCAGGCTGCACTGTATACCAACTAGCAAACGGTAATTAGTACTGCAGTCAAGCCACAGACCCACGAGAAGAAGAGGTGGATATACGTAGAACCCCGATAACGCGTGTACGGTCGCTATGGGTCGCTGCCTCGCAGGACGGCCGGGTCGTCGCCCACTCCGCGTTATGGTACTCCGCATTATTTCTCTATATATCTAGGATTAATTATAAAAAAACTATCACTATTCTCGGATGGTGTTGATTTGTTTTTTCTTCCATAAATTTAGTCAAATTTTACAAAGTCTAACTTAAAATAAAACTAATATGCAATGTATTTTAAAATGAAGGAAGTACTTTGTTAACTGAGTCTTGTTATCTACTTCAAAACTCGGGTAAAAAAATTACCCTCTGCCAAAAAAATAACTAAAAACTTTGGCACCAGTTTTCATCTAATAGTTGGTTAACTAATTGATTGCACATTTTTATGCACTACATGCAATTTTAGTTTTGTACAAAACAAATTGTGTAATCGTATGATGTTTGTGAGGATCTAAATTATTGCGATATACATTGGCTGGATGGAATAACTGAGGGAACAAAAAAAGGTAGAATGGGTATAAATAAAAACAAATCTTAGTTTTTTTAGGGGTACAAATTACGATCGATTCCCTTTTCAAAACATACAGCACAAGCTCGGGCTCTTCCTGCATGTTATAAAAAATAGAACCGATGGCAGGCTAGCTGGGCTGTGAACACGGTGAGAACGGGCTATAATAACACTTTTGTGGTTTTGGAACTACTGATCACATTCTTCATGGTTTTGCTGTTGCTAGTAGCTATGATAACACTTTTGCTTGGTAGAACCCCCTAAACACATTAATGAAGGTGATCTCTTCATACTTTTTTATAATAAAGGATAGGATGGTCTTTTTAGAATATATGTCGCCCATGCTGAGTGCGCGGATACGCGGTACGTACACGGCCTGGCGTATAGCTTCATTTTCTCTCTTTTTTAATCCTCAAGAAATGTGCCCTGCATGGATTTGAACTCCAATTCTCAAGGTTTACTTCTAATTCTAGTAACCAACTGGGCTAGGTTACTTGTTGTGCCCACTTGCTTTCGTTTACGCTTCCTATATGGCAAATATGACTTTGTGAACTTTCAGGATGGTTTTTTCGTGTATTTTTAAACAGAGTGTTGTTTCGTTTTATTCTGGGTTTTTTCCTATAATTTTCAAATGCTTGAAATTTTTAAAATTAAAATAATAAAATTCATGAACTTATTCCTAAAATTTTCAATCTGTTTTAAATTCAATTTTATTACAAAATATGCGAATTTTTTGTGTGGGGACAATTTTTTTAACAAAAAGATTCACAAATTTGAGTGCATGCATGGGCACACGCTTGCCATGCCTGTTGCATTGGCAAAAATGTGCATGCATAATCCCTTTTTTTAAGTTCAACACATGTTTCCAGATTTCCATTTGAACTACTACATTGTGGCTTGTGCATGTCCCTGATTCTTAGTATTTTTGGCTTTCAATTTACTTGGTAATTTTTGATGATTATTTTCACTTTGGTGGGACTGTCCCCTTAAATACAAATTAGAAGCTTTTGACCATTTGCACCATTTCCAAGTTTGTGTTCATACACAGTTTAGGCCTTCTTTGGTTTGTAGGATTTTTGTAGGGATCCCATAGGATAGAATTTTTGTAGGAAAAAATCCTTTAGACTCCTTTGGTTTGTAGGAATAGAATCCTATTCCTATGGAAGAATTCTTCCTATCCTGCACATTTCATAGGAAAATAAACATTAGCCTAGACTCAATGGAAAAAAAATCCTATGAAGTGAATCAAATGACATCTTCTTTCCTATTCCTACTCATAGGATTTAAGATGCATGTCATCTCATTTTATAGGATTTTTCATAGAAGGTTATGAACTTGACAATAATGTTTTGATGTCCTTCCTCACATCTCGTGGATTGCACAATGTCTCACATGAGCATACACTTAGCATTAAGAAATGGCGTGTCCAGTCGCATCACTTGCACCATTAACTATGGCATTTACACACTGTTGTTCCATGTCAGCACGCCACAATCCCTCTGGCTCGACGCAGTCAGCACCTCCACCCAGTGGCGGAGAGTGACACACAAAATAGGAGGGGGAAATATCAAGCAACCACATAATTTGCAATGATATAATTACCAGAGAATGACCTTTCATTAGTGCATATATAATTTGTTTACAAAAATAACATGTCTTTACTCTCAATATCAGTGCTAGATCAACTCTACATTCGAAGTTTTTTTTCACTCTGGAGCAAAAGAAGATATGCCCAATACATGTTGTAACAGGAAAAAAAAATAGAAGGCTAGAAGGTGCGGATTTGGGGAGGGAAGAAGACCTAGCCATGGAAAATTGGGGAATGAACCAGATGAGGAAAAGGGCGACGTCAGCTAGCGAGAATCACGCAGATGAGCTGACCGGTGGCGGCTACGTCAAATGGCTAGATGGCACATATAGGACAGCCACACAACAATACATGGACCAGAAAGACAGAGTGATGAGAGGAAGGACATCAAAACATTATTGTCAAACTCATGAGATGAGAGGAAGGACATCGAAACATTATTGTCAAATTCTTCCTGGCCACGGGATTTTACACTTTTTGAAGACCGGGCCACGGGAAACAGCTGGCAACCAAGGGAGCCCAACTGATTGACGGCCCACTCAGGAATTGTCATCCCTACATAACAGGAGAAGTTCTCAAAAAAAAACATAACAGGAGAAAGGGCAAGAACTTATAGAAAACAACGTCCGGAAGCAGCATGAGATGGCAGCAAGAAAAACATGCGTCCGCTTAGCCTCTCCAATCACCCCACGGTTCGACAACGCAACACTCCAATGGCCACAAGGTTCGACAATGCAACGACGACATGTAACTCGTACCAAAAACGCAAAGAGTAGGTACACATCGACCGCAATAGTGAATATGGTAACCCGTACGACATGGCCCATGTGGTAAGCTACCTGAAAACAAACAATGTCAAGAATGTGGTAACCCGTGATATAATATTTTACATTGTTTATCTCATGTAGTACTAGTAGAAAGATTATTTCATTAACATGTGAATTGCCTTACACTTTTGCTGAGTAACAAATTTTGACCAAAGTTAAATTGTTCAGAATTCCCTTGATGAAAATTGATCTCTTAACCTAGGCTATATCTGCAATGAAAAAGAAGTGAGAGAGATTTCTCGCATACATGAACATACGAAAGAAGAAGATGGAGCTTGAGTACAGGAACCTTGTGATGAACTCTTATGCATGAACGCCGGCAACTTGGATCCTGATGTGGGCATGTTTGCTCATCAAATGCATAGCGGTATTTTCATGCTATGCGAAAAGGAGGGGAGAAAGTAGGCCGAAAATTGAGGCATTCAGTGTGGACATCCGATGCTTTTGCTAATGGCTCAAGAGAAAGTTCTTGGCCTAAGTGTGCAATCAATTTAAGTTAATGGACTAGTGGTGCATTTCACTCTTCCCATGATACCAATTTGAAGAAGCCAATTTTAAATGTTTTGAATCATTCTGAAAAATATATGAATTTTCAAAACACCTGTGTCTACAATCCCTAAAAAACTCAGGTCCGAATTCAAAATACACATAGAGAAAAAAAAACATAAATCGGAGTTTTTAACATAGTGTCAAAAACTATGTTATTCACATCTTTTTTTTTTTGCTTCATACTTCGTCCGTCCCAAAATAAGTGACTCAACTTTATATTAACTTTAGTATAAAATTAATATAAACTTTAGTATAAAATTAATATAAAGTTGAGTCACTTTTTTTGAAACGGGGGAATATGTACTTTGAATTTGGATCTGAATTTTTTATTTGTTTTGCGAATACGATCTGAATGTTTTAGAAGATGTAAACACATGTCTTGCAAACATTCACAATTTTTTTTAAAACATTTAAATCAGACTTTTGAAATTGGAATCATACGGGCATGCATGTAAGTGATGGTACCATCTGGTATTCTCCCCAAGACCAAGAGTCCTCGTCTGATTCTACAGACTCTTCGACTTTGATCTCGGCGAAGGCAGTTTTGGTAGCCCTCTCGGCTCCAATAGTGTACGGCTTAGAGCCATCACGCTCTATGAGCCCGAGCGCCATATCGAGGTTGGTCACCACGTCTGACATGGCTGGCCGGTCCTGGCGCCACAAACAGCGTGCGGCCGTGTACGCCACAAGCTCCAGCGCCTGCAACTGCCCCGGCGTCGGCTCCGGCGATGGGCGTCTGTCCAGCAAAGGCCCCAGGTTCCCACCCTCGATGAACGGGACAGCAAATCCAACCAAGGTCTGTGCCTCCTCCCAGCTAGGCGGCCTCCCCGTCAGCACCTCCAGCATCACCACGCCGAAGCTGTACACGTCGCTCGCCGGAGTCACACGGTGCGTGCGGCGGTACTCCGGGTCGATATACCCAAAGTGGCCGACGACCTCCCCGACGAGCTGACCATGTAGCTCGCCCTTCGTCGCCGCTTGCAAAACAGCGGCGCCGAAGCCGGACACGCGGGCCGCCCAGGTCTCGTCCAGAAGGATGCTGGACGAGCTGACGTTGCGGTGGATGATCTGCGGGGTGCACACGCGGTGCAGGTGGTCGATGGCTCTGGACGCGCCCAGCAGTGCCTGGACACGCACCTTCCATGACGAGGTCACCGGCGACGCAGAGGCAGAACCGCGGCCTCCGCCCAGCGTCAGGTGCTCCCTGAGCGTGCCGTTGCTTGTGTGCTGGTGCTGGTACACGAACATGCGATCGTCGTCCTCCGCGCACCAGCCCACGAGGCCCACGATGTGGTCGTGACGGAGGCGGGGGAGGATCTCGAGCTCCGCCACGAACGCACCCTCTTGTTCGTGCCGTTGTCGCCCGTAGTTCTTCAGGCACTTGACTGCCACCTCCAGGCCATCGTGAAGACGGCCCTTGTACACCGTCATGGAGCTGTC